GGGGAAATGATAGGGTTTGGGGGAAGAAAAAGGCTTTGGGGTGAAAAGGAGGGGTTTTGGGCAAAGAGGTGTCGTCTCTGGGGGAAAATTGGAGTTTTTGGGAAAAGAGCCCCCGTTTTGGGGAAGAAAGAGAGGGTTTGGGGAGAAAAGGCACCATTTTGGGGTGGGAATCAGTGGTTTGGGGGAAAGAGGCGCCATCTGGGGGTGAAAATCATCATTTTGGGGAAAAGAGGCACCGTTTGGGGCGAAAATGAGGGTTTCTGGGAAAGAGGCGCCATCTGGGGGTGAAAATCATAGTTTGGGGGAAAAGACCCCTCGTTTGGGGGTAAAAATCATCATTTTGGGGGAAAGAGGTGCCAGTTGGGGCAAAAATGAGGGTTATTGGGAAAGAGGCGCCATCTAGGGGTGAAAATCATCATTTTTGGGAAAAGACCCCTCGTTTTGGGGCGGAAATAATTGTTTTTGAGCAAAGACACCGCTTTTTGGGGAGGAAAGTGCCAGTTTTGGGGAAAAAAGACGCCATTTGGGGGGCCAAAATTATCATTTTTGGGAAAAGAGAGGCCATTTGGGGGGAAAAATAATCATTTTGGGGTAAAGTGACCACATTTGAGGGCAAAGCCTCCCCCGTTTTGGGGCAAAAATCACCATTTTTGGGCAATGACCCCTCATTTGGGGGCAAAAATCGCCATTTTGGGGGAAAGAGACCACATTTGGGGGTGAAAATCACCATTTTTGAGCACACACCCCCCCCTTTTTCAGCGCAAAGACCCTTCATTTTGGGGCATAAACCCCCAGTTTTGGGCAAATCTCCCCCTCCCAGCCACAGCCCCAGAGCTGCTTCTACAGGACCAGTATGGACCAGTACAGACCAGTATGAGACCAGTACGGGACCCCGCAGCCACCCCACAGCCACCTCTGCACGACCAGTACCAAACCAGTATGAGACCAGTATGAGACCAGTATGGGACCAGTATGGGACCAGTACCAGCACCCCACAGCCCCCTCTGCAGGACCAAACCAGTATGAGACCAGTACAGACCAGTACGGGACCCCACAGCCACCCCACAGCCGCCTCTGCACGACCAGTGCCAAACCAGTACCAAACCAGTATGAGACCAGTATGAAACCAGTATGGGACCAGTACCAGCACCCCACAGCCCCCTCTGCAGGACCAAACCAGTATGAGACCAGTACGGACCAGTACAGACCAGTATGAGACCAGTACGGCACCCCGCAGCCACCCCACAGCCGCCTCTGCACGACCAGTGCCAAACCAGTACCAAACCAGTATGAGACCAGTATGGGACCAGTATGGGACCAGTAGCAGCACCCCACAGCCCCTTCTGCAGGACCAGTACCAAACCAGTATGAGACCAGTATGGGACCAGTACCAGCGCCCCACAGCCACCCCATAGCCGCGTCTGCGGGACCAGTATGGGACCAGTATGGGACCAGTATGAGCTACCCCATACTGGGACCAGTACGGAACCCCACAGCCCCCCCATAGCTGCCTCTGCGGGACCAGTATGGGACCAGTATGGGACCAGTATGGGCTACCCCATACTGGGACCGGTACCAGCACCCCACAGCCGCCCCATAGCCGCTTCTACCAAACCAGTATGGGACCAGTACCCCATACTGGGACCAGTACAGGACCCCACAGCTGCCCCACAGCTGTCCCAGCAGGACCAGTACAGGACCAGTATGCCATACTGGGACCAGTACAGACCAGTACTGCCAACCCACAGCTGTCCCAGCAGGACCAGTATAGGACCAGTATGAGCTGCCCCATACTGGGACCAGTACCACCTACTAGGACCAGTACAGAACCAGTAC